TTCAGTTTTTTAAATGAAAATTTTTTGGAAATTGAAAATGGCGCAGCAAATATTGCTACAAAAATATTGTGTGTATGGATTGACTTTAAACAAACAGTAAACTCACTAACTCTGTTTGAATGTATGTTTTGGAAAGTGTTTGACTTAGTAAGTATAATAGTGATGATGTATATAGTTTTTATGATATAATAAGAGTAAGGAGAGATGCAAGAAAACTGAAGAAAAGAGAATTGCCACAGGTCTTTTCTCATATAACCAAAGAATAAGCAAGACTCCCAAACTTGAATAGACTTTAACCAGAGGTCCCATTTCACTGCACCAGTTGTCTTGAAGGTTCTTGAGTTTCTGAGCTGAGACTCACTTGCGATAAAGAGTATAAAACATTTTTTTTACTTAAAATTACCATAAAAAAAAATTTTTTAACAAAATGGATGTGATCAGAAGTGAGTTTTTTTCTTGAAATAAATTTTCTTATAGGTGTTAAAACTTAATCTTATATAATAGACTTATATTGTTAAGAATAAGTACAAAACTTTTATTATTATTATCTGTTCTGTTTGTAAAGGTAACTAGAATTCTTAATTATTTTATATTATTTTATTAGATTATTAATTATTAATATAACATTTGTAACAATTTAATATTAATATTACTATATTGACATTAATTGTTATTTTTTTTTAAATATTATGAGACTAATTCTTTAAAAATTCAAATACGTAATAATAATTGTATAATAGTTTTTTAAATATATCTAGTTTCTACTATTAACAAATAAACAATATCAGATTTGATAATAATAATTATATCAATTTTTTAAAGAAATAAATTATTTATTTTTTTTTAAAAAACCATGAAAAAAAATTTTTTTTAAAGCCTATGTTTTGAAAAAAATTGTTACTTCTTAATAATTACTAAAAAAAAACGAATTTATTGATTAGAAAAATAATAAATAGAAAATAATATTTTAAAAAGAAGAAAAATTTTTAAAAAAAAAACTTTAAAAAAAACCTGATATTATTATAGTAAGAAAGAGTAAAAAAGAAGAGAAATATATTAAAAAAAGTTTAAAGAATAAAGGAAAAGAAATAAAAAAAAAAGTAAAAAAAAAGAAAAATAAAATAAAAAATAAACAACTTAAAATTTTTTTAAGTAATAAAAGAAAAATAAAATAGATTTTTTTTTATATCTATAATTCAATATATTATGATTATTATTTTTTTTATATAGATAAATATAATTTTTTTATTTAAATTGTATATAATAAAGTATATACTGTATCATAAAAAAACAATATTTCTTATATATTAATATAATAAATTAAATATTGGTTTGTTTACAATAATTAAAATTTTAAATTTATTTTTTATAACTTTTAAAATAATATTATTCTAATAAGAATATTTTGATTTTAAAAATTTAGAATATAATATTTGATAAATTTATATTAAATTCAATTAATATAAACATTAGTTCTATCAATATTATAATATAAAAAAAATTATAAAAACTATGAAATACTATAAGAATCTTTTCAAAAATAATAAAAAAGATAATATATATATGATATGAATTCTTAAAAAAATATGATTTAAAGAAAGATTTCTAAAAAATATATTATTTTTGCAATATCAATATATACAATAATTTTTAATTTTAAAAATAATATAATTTATATTAAAAAAAATATTATAAAATTCAAAATGCTAAAAAACAAAATAAATTAGAATTACAATATAAAATAACTTAAAGAATTTTTTTAACTTTAATATTTTTTTAGAAAAAAATACAAAATAACAAAGTCTTTTATCAAGATTCATTATAAACTATAATATATTTTTTAATATTTTTTATTTAAATAAATAAATAAATAATTTGGTAAATAAAAAAATTTTTTTATAAATATAATATTTAAAAACAATAATTCAATAAAATATTAAATTTAAATTAATAAAAAGATAAATTAATATAAAGATAAATAAATAAATAATTATCAAATAATTATATTGTATGATTTAATTATATTTTATTTTAATTATTTAAAACTTGAAATTTTAAATATCATAATTGATTAAATTAAACAATAAATTAGTTTTTGATTTGGAATTAATTTGTAATAGATGAATTATGTCAATTTTTTAATAATATGTAATATTCGAAAAAGAAAATTTTGAAATTATTAATTAAAATATTATAAAACATTTTATAAAATTAAAGAAATTTAAAAATTATTTTATAAAATTATTTATTAAAAATTCAATGATTATTTCAAATAAAACAAATTCATACACAGTATCTTATATTGAATTTGATAGATTTTTATAAAATATAAACAAAATTTTTATATGTAAATGTTTAATTCAAATCAAAAAGATATAATATGCAAATGCATAACAAAAATTTGACAAGATTAATAGATAAATAAAAATCATAAAAATTTATTTTGATAAATATTAGGAATCAAATTATTAATTTATATTCAGATAATATTTTTGTATCATGTTGTGTCATGTAATTTAATAGATTCGTGTTAAGGAATTATTGGAAAAATTTTATTTTTTGATTTTAGAATAAAAACAACAATAACAACAATAGATTTCTCACGTATTAATTTACATGCGTTTGTAATCTTTATTTTATCCTGTTTGATGTTTTTTCAAATTATTGTTTTAAAAAAAAATTTTTCTTTATTTATAAAACGTTTAACATGATTAAGGTTATTGTATAGAAAAGTTATTTTTATTCCGTAATTTCAAGTGCATCATTATGAAATTTCTTTATTAATGATGGGTTTCACGGATTTTCAAAAAAAAATTCTTGATTAAAATTACGCCACTCATTAAAGTTTACGCCACATGTGGTACAGCGCCACAGTGATACCTACACACGCCACAAGTAACATTAATATGCGCCGCACACGTGTGAATCAGCCATTATTTTTTTTTTATGCATGTTCCCCAATCTTGGAGTCCGGTCAACCTCCGATGCATGGCGGGATCGATCACACGTACGTCTCAAACTATCATGAGACAGTATCGATTGCAAATGAAAAAAAAAATTTATTCATCAGAAAATAAATTCCTCTGAAAAAGGATCCCTCAATGTGGATATATCAATCACAATATTATTCGACCGGTGATCTATGTTGGTAACATCACATGTGCCTGACATGAAATGTGATCAAGCACACAAGATTTATTTTTATTTTATGGTCATGTATTTTCTCTACCGAAGTGACAATGATAAAAAAAAAACCATATTGGATGGATCGCGTAATAGCGATTTGCTAGAAGAAAAGCCGAAGATACAAACGTTGGACAAAGAAACTTTACGACAACATTAATGCATAACGTCGATGCGAATGTGATCGCATATTCAACCTTTAATGTTTTGACCAAATTCAGACGAACTCTAGAAAGAAAACAAAGTAAAAGGGAAAATAAGTGAACATTCAATAAACAACCATGATGCAGTAACTATTGTCACTATTGAACGACCACATTCAAGCTTGATGTTGCAACCACAGAAAAATCCAGTAAATTGTTCCGTAGACTTACCTCGAAAAAGGAGATCGTCCTAACATTACGTATCAACTTCAGATGAAAGAACACTTTTACCAGGTATTCATCGTTTCACCGTTTCACAAAGCGTGATGCACGAGTGTTTACGGATCCCTTTACTAAATTCAATGTTTCATTATTTATTATTATTCTTCTATTTATATTTCTATAGAAATCTTTTTATGGTAAAGATCGATTAATCTAATTCATACGATATTTTATAGTAAAAATTTAAAATTAGAATTTTAAGCATAAAAGTAAAAAATAAGTGGATAGATGCTTGTATCGTCAAAAACGTGATGACTACTGGGTTATTTTTCAAACAGAAAGAGAGCTTTTTTGGGATGACGTATGGGATATTTTTTTGGCATTTGAGAGAAAGGTATTTTTGTCTCGAGAATAAGATTCTGATAACAATATGTCAAAGTCTTGCTTAATCAGGGAATTCCGATGAAAGATCCCAAGATCCCCCAATAATTCATAACGACAATAACGACATTGTATCGAATTTGCATTGAGGTTGAACGAATCACTACCTCCCTGGATTTCATGTGCAACTGACGTGCATAATCCAGAAAATTCGATTCGTTTTTTTTTTCGAATTTCATGAATACTCACAATCATAATCGTCCTTTCCCTTGGGTTTATTGATTTTTCATACAATTTTGATGAATGATAAATTCCAAAAGAATCAATATGGTTTCAAATTTGTCGTTGTCAACAATGTTGAAAGTTGGAGTGATGATCGTCGGAAATTTTTCCATTTTGGGTAAATGAAGGTTCCATCGAAAGTGAATCATCAGAAGACGTTGAAGGGTTTCCATAAGGTTTGTTGAACCAAACACTATTTTTAAAAGTGGCGAATGAGAATTTACGTGTAACATTACAAATTCTACGTTCGTGAAACGGTGGCTTGAAAGTGCATGAAAGTGGCTTGATCAACAAACACAAAGAGCGCAGAATTTTTGTATAAATATTGACATTTCCGCTCCTTTACTTGTGAGACTTTGTTCTTCAAAAAAAAAAAATTTCGTCTCTTTTTTGCTTTTTTTCAAACACATTATTTGTTTTCCTTGCGTCTTCTTCCACTCAAATTTCAAACTTCAATTCAAAATTCAATACAATATTTGCGGACGATTTAAACATTTGGTTTTCAGAAACCCTTTGAATCATCATCATTCTTGACTTTCCATCTTTTTAAGTGATAGCCTAAGAGCACACGAACGTCTTGTCTTGAACAAGAAAGAACGACTTCAAACTCTCGTCTTCAACAACGGCGGAAAAAAAAGGACGTTAAATAATCGATTCTTCAGAAAACAGACAAGGAATTTTTACGATTTAGTATAGTCCATTCGTCCAAAAACTTTTTTAGGAAAAAAAAATAACAATCTTCGTCTCAAGCATCTTTTATTTCTTTCTTATCACACCTATCAAAAAATGTCTTCATCTCGTGTCATTCGTCGACAACCTCGTGGTTCGATTAACAAGAGGGCATGTGAAAATTGTCGAAGGTTAAAGATTCGGTGTGATGGAGATTCGGAAAGAAATGTCGAATGCTCAAATTGTGAAACCGGCACATGCGTTTTCGATAAGGCGCCTAGGCGAAATCGCCAAGTTGAAAGATTGAACAATCAAGTGAAAAATTTAGAGACCAACTTGGAAAGGATTCGAAATGATTTTCACCAACAAGCCTCTAGATCAGACCATATCATCTCCATATTGAAGCAAGAGAAAGAGATTCAGAGATTACTGTTGAATTGTCAAAGTTATTTTCAAAGTTGCCATGAACATCAAATAATTTTTGAACAATTAAATCAAATAATTGAGAAAAGCCAATGTTGGTCAATTCTCTTGCCATTAGTTAGAGAACTACTTATTCGATTGTCACATAACACCACCGATTCGGTTTCCATCATCAACGCGTTGAAGATGATTGCGGAAAACACCATGAGGTTCTGTCAACCTGACTCTTCAATTAATGGGATGACCCCTCCACCAGAACTAACCTCCACCATCATGAGCAACACAAATCTTTATAACAGTAATAATGCAAGCTCATCGAGTGAGATCTTGCAATCCCCTCAAGTTAACGATGGATTGGAAATTAATGTGGCCCAATCACAATTTAGTTGCCTTCCCACAATCTCACCATTCTTTCCCAACTTGGATATAGGTGATCTTTCGTCTCTTTATTTAAATGATATGGAATGATCATTCAAAAATGCGTTAATTTATGAAAACTTGGACATTAGAATGCACTTTTTTGGTCGAACCAACTTTAGACAAAAAATTTCATTAATGGTTTTTTTTTCTTTTGATAAGATAAGGACATTAAATGCTATTTTTATTATCCATTATTTATTCGATTTTTAAAATTTCCTAATGGTATGCCATAACTTCACAAGCTTATGTATTTTTATTACTCTTAAACGGTAAAATTCAAAAAAAAAAAAAAAAAAGATTTAGAGTGACGAACACTTTTTAGTAGGTATCTATGAGTAAGGCATGTAACGGACTTTGGTTTTTTTTTTTTTTTCCTCGGTATTTTTAATTCACAAACGAACAATTCGGTATCGTCTTTATACATATCCAATATCTTTATTTAGCTTTGTAAATACTTTCATCCTTTCATTCTTCACACAACTATTACATCATTCACCAATAAGTGTATACATACATACATATCTATCTATCTTTCTGCTTATCTATCAATCAATCTATCTTTCTATTCTCTTATTTCATCCTTATTATATTTCGTTGGAAAAAACGATCAAAATAAATCTCTAGAAATCCTGAATTGAATAATGAATGCTATCATTGATGTGTTGAATATTTCCGAACTTTTCGTCGCTGGCGCAGGCACGCGTACGCTTGTACAAATGATAATGTTCTTTTTATGGCATGTAATATGACTGCATGACGGAATTTAGATTTAACTATTACGCGGATCTCGGAAATGTAATTATCCCGATCCGTTTATATAAACGTCATTTGGCATTACGTAAATACGCATGTGCATGCAAAAAGAAAAAAAAAGAAAATTCCATGCCTCATGTGATGCGTCATTGCACGCATTGATTCACTGAACTTTCCGGAAGCTTTGGATTTGACATCACACGCGAAAAATAATCTTATCAGATTAGTCCACAAGGAGAGGAGCATGCATCCGTCGCAGCACACCTGGTTCGAATTTCGGACTTCGGTAAAAAATTTCCTTTGGGTCATTGTGGGTAGAGGATATCCATATTTAGATTGGGCCTTATTACCTTCGTGGTATTATTTGGACGCCACCAGATGTTCCGAGATAAGGAGATCCCTTGTGAGTGATAAGGATTTTGTTTCAAGTTCGCTCCGTCTTCGAATGAATGCAATCGGTCAAACACTATTAGACGCTGTTTCCTTATTGGGCCTTTTCAAAACTGATTTAATCCGGAAATGTTGCATTATTATTATTTTTTTTTTTAATCCTGGCCAAACTTCCAAAATTACCAGCGATTTATGCAGTACATCCCAAAATTCTTGGGTTTACATAAATTATTACCGAATCGAGGTTTTAAGGCTTACCGCATACGGAATATGATGGGAAAAGGGATAGGATTGAATTCGCTCACGTTTCCTTCTTTCAAAAAGTTTTCTGAAGCCTATAGAAAGATAATTTTTGCCCTTTCTCCTTATTTACTCTATTCATCCACCATAGTAACATAGAAAATGGATCGCCACCGACCAGCTGCGTTGACTCCATCTGCGGCTAGAACCGCTGAAATTATGGAAGCTCGCGCAAACTTTCGCAAAACTTTCGAAGATAGCCTTGGACGTAAGTTGCCTCAACCCTGAGACCTTGCTTCTTCCGTCAACAGTCATCCCACCTTACCAACTCATTTTCTCTTCATTTTTCTTCTTCTCTCGTAGTACTCAATTCCATAACGTTGGAAGAAGGTGTTTACTTCCAAGCCGTGGACAATAACATCGCCGACACAAATTCATTGTATCAGAAGTTTCAATGCGTGCTAAAAGAAATCGTCGATGCTGAACCGGAATTAGCCGCTGCGGTTAAATCGGGTGAAAAAGGGTTGGAAGTTTTGGAGGACCATCAAAAAGTATGATAAATTTATTTATTCTTCGAAGGTCCAATCGGACCGCCTGCGTCCACGTTTTATCTCTCGCTAACAATATAACGAACGGAAAACGCTCGCAGGTTAAAGAACTTATTCCCCCACCGGAACAAAAATATTATGCTCCTGAATGAACCCTGTCTTCTTTTTTATAGAAAAAACTCTATTCTTCATTCCAATTACACGTTAGTGATGTGGCATAAAATCAATTTTTCTCAGATCACGTAATTTTCATTGTTAATTTATGAAAATTTATGTAAATTCAGTTCATTTTTTTTTAACCGAGAAAAAGTAATTTCTTTACGAGATTGTCCCATTTATTCACCAAAAAATAAAAAAATAAAAAAAATTTTTTTTAATGAATTAATGCAATCAATCTCAATGGTACTCTGGTTGGGATCGTGAAAGTGGAGATCTGGTGTACATCTAATCGTTCGAAGTTGATGATAATTAATGCGCTTAAATTTTTTTTTTTTATCTCACTTCACGCATCCCTTCGTCATCCACCCAATTTCGATTAAGAAAACTCAATACTGATAAATCAACGATAGCTCAATCGCATCTTTTGTCCTTTGGCCCGTCTTTCCATCTTTCGTCAATCTTATCGCAATCAAAGATCTCCTTGCCCAATTGTTCATTAACTAAATTATGCATTTCACATATCCATCTACCTAAAGCCCAACGACTTTCGACTCGAGGTGGCTTCTTTCTCATTTCATCTCTAAAGTGTTCGGCGCAAGGATCACACGGATAAAATTGTGAAAATGTCGTCAAAAAGCTTTTCATGGAACGTTGTTGTTCATAAGAAGGAACTTCGGGATAATAAGCTGCCATGGTGTGCAAGAATGTCCATGTGGCTCTGCCGAGTTGCTCGACGTCTGGAGGACACTCCTGAGGTGCTTGTGGTATAGACGAGGTTGAAGCAGAATTTAGCGCGGCCGCACTGAATGTTCCCACTGCTTCCGTCACGCCATGCTGTTTCTTCCTTTCCTGTTTCGTCCAATCTCTGAACGTGGTGCAAACTCTACATGGTTTCCCATCCTTGCCCAAGACAATCCCCTTCGGTGTTTTTTCAAGAACAGTAGAAGCATTCCTAGAACTTGATCCGTGCTTACTCTCGACATCTCTTACTTCTGAGGTCATGGTGGATAAAAAAACTTTCCCGTTGCACAGATCGTAAACAGGACATGACGTCTGCAATATTTAGCTTTTACACACAAGTAGAAAAAAATTTTAATATTATATAATACATCTTTTGAAATAATAAAAATTTAAAATATTTACTTTTATCAATCCCAAAGAGCATATACAGTATATAGAATATGTGAATACTAGTCTAGATCTATTGTAATCACTGCATATGGTATTTCAAGTACTAATTAATTATTTTATCTAAAAAATTATTTGGAAAAAAAATATACGTATATATTATTATTAAAATCAAGAAAAGTACTATTCAAAAAGGAATATTGTATGCAGTGGTTTATATAAAAAATACAATAAATAAAATAATTTACCTTTTACCAGTTTAATAAATCAAATTTGTTAGATTTGTTTGGTTTTATAAAATATTTCAAGTTTATTTATAACAAAATTTGTTTGTTTAAAATTATATAATATTAAAAAAAATTTTTTTTTTTTAATCAAATATATAAGAATATAAGAAGTAAAATATCAGATAATAAGAAAGATTTGAAAAATCAAAAATCAAAATTTATAAATAAATACTTAAAGAAAAAAATATAAATTATTTGATATTTTTAATACTAATAAAGTTATAACATATTGGTTTTTATATTAAAAATAATATAGAATATAACAAGTTACAAAATAAATTATTTTATAGTTACTGTATATACAATATATACAGTATATACAGTGTGAGTCAAAATTATTGGAAAAAATTTTTTATTAATAAACTTTACAACTATCAAAGCAATTTAGACG